TGTTTGTGATATTATTGAATTGGTTTATAGATATTTTTGTTGATTGGTTTTTGTTAGATTATGTGTCTCAGGATTGAACTGCTATTTATATATATTTTTCATATTTTAGAATAAAATGTTCTCCTTTTAATGCTGTCATACATGATAAAAATGATTTATTCATAATATTTGCCAATACTAACTTGATTTTCGGTTACCAGAATGAAATTAAGACAATATGCAATGAAAACCACATTAGCAACTACAAGGAATTAGCCTGCTGTTAATATGAAAGGATATTTGTGATTTTGGAATTTTGTAAATAATTTATTGACTATTTGAACATAATTTTTTTCTGGTACTATGTTGATTGTAAGGGAGTGGATAGGGTAGCCCTTAAGTGTTAGCACTTAGCATCATACTTACATACTAGCTTTTTACCCGGCCCGTTGGCCGGGGAGATTTATTTTATAATTTATATTAATTAACTTATTTATATGTTTAAATCATTTTGGATCTTCTAAATAGTTTGTGTTCTTGATTCATAAAAGAGTTTGTAGTATGTCTATGTTGAAAATTTCCAATATTTATTACACTCACTTCTGATGCTTCAGTTTTCTAATCATAAATTATGCCGTTGTCACGTCCCATTTAGAACTTATGTCAAAATTTGTCAACCAAAACACTAATATTTAGCGTACGCCAACCTGAACCACACACACACACACTACCATTCGACCATTGAGTTTTACTATTTAGACTCCGGAGTTTTTTGGGGCATGATACTATACCCTAACCTATAATAGGTGAACTCTAATCCCTAATTCTCTAACCTCTAATTTATGCAAATACTTTGTCATACCTATCTTCTATCGTATCTTGAGTAGAATCAAAAGATAGTATACCTTGATATTATATATATGTATATATATGTGTGTATATATATAGTAGACTCAAAATTATCCAGATACTTTGCCAGACTTATCTTATCTCGCCTAATACTCATATTAAGAGTGCTACTTGCCTATCCCCCACCCTCGGGATAGAGATCCCGCTTTTACCCCATTGAGGTTGTTTATCGTTTGATATGTAATATATAAAGAGGCAAATCCTAAGATCCTGCTATTTATTTCCTATCCTCTCCCGTCGACCCCTTTATGGAGAATAAATGGGTAGGGATAAGAGGATCATAGCTCGATATGGTTTTATTCTGTTCATCGTATCGGAGGTTATGTTCTTTTTTTATTTTTTGGGCTTCTTTTCATTCTTCTTTGACACCTATGGTTGTGATCAGAGGTATTTAGCCCCGAAAGGGATTGGCATTTTAGGTCCTTTGGAAATCCAATACACATTCATGGTCCTCAAGTTTGGACGAACTCTCGACCAATGTTGTAAAGATTAGGACCTTTTAGTGAGACATTCTTAGTAAAGATACTTCATTATTGGATCAATTTATTCATCCATATTGAAACTTGACACATACCGTAGTCCTCGTGATGATTAAATTTTATAATCTCTACTCATTTCCATTTTGGATGTTAGTTTTTTTATCAAGACACTTAAATTTAGTATATTATACAATATGTATCAATTGTTAATTTTTGAAGTTCTAACTCGTGGTCATTGTTTATATGTTGGCTTAGAAACTCAATCTAAGACACTCGCACACACTATCGAGGATTTTGGTCTTAACATGGTCGTTGAATGTGTAATTTTCAAAGATTTTATCACCCATATATTAATATTTGATAAAGAGTGTCTACAATACACACATATTTCAAGTGCATTTAAAATGTCTTATCATTTGAACAATATCGGTGGATTTCATTTGATTATTTGCATTAACTTATTATCTATACAACATATATCAATTCGTGTCTCTCGAGTTTGGACGAGCTGGCAACCAATTTTGAGATTTGAGATTACTGGATAAAGATACTTGATTGTTGGATAAATATGTTTATCCCAATTGACTATCTTACTAAAAATTGCCAACCTTTATTTGGTAAATGTCTAGGTTAGTAGTTGATATAACGCGATGTTTATGTATGAAGTCAAAGTTCGTCAACAATCATACTTAAGTCATTTTGAAAATTTCGATTTCTAATCGTTGACGACAAGTCCAAGTCTGAAAGAAAATTTCTTAGCATACGACTTAGAACCTCAATAGAGCTTGCTCAATCAACATGATATAGAACAAATATTATTAATGTGAACTTAGGGCACATTATAAAATTATTCCACATGCGATTTCTCTTCATTTGAGGAGTTTAAGGTAGAACATGATCTGAGGAATAAGAAGTCTTTTTTAAATAAATAACTATAACAACTCGATCAATATTATACTCTGACATTTTGCTAAATAATACTTATTTTATTTTATAGACATATAATTTACGAATAAGAGAGTGTTTCATTGCAACAAAATATAAAGCAATATAGTTTATTTTTCATAGGTAAGTGAATGTCAAACGTTTATTTTCTTTATTTTCACATAAATTTTGTTTAATCGAAAAAAACATTATTGTTTATGTGTATGTTTGTCTAATTTTTCCATCAAAATGTAACTATCATTCAATTTTAGTAAAAATGAGTAAAAAATTTACTTCATAAGGTTTAATCAGATATTTTTTATTTAAACAAATGTGGTATATGTTAGTTTCTGTTTTCTTATTTATATTTTTTTACTGGAAAAAAAATTATTATTTATGTGTGTTTGGTCAAGTTTAACAACATGTAACCTACTATTAAAGCAATTTTTTTAGGAATTTAAGGTAGAACATGATCCGAGGAATAAGAAGTCTTTTTTAAATAAATAACTATAACTACTCGATCAAGATTATACTCGAACATTTTTCTAAATAATAATTATTTTATTTTATAGACATATAATTTACGAATAAGAGAGTGTTTCATTGCAACAAAATGTAAAGTAATATAGTTTATTTTTCATAGGTAATTGAATGTCAAATTTTTATTTTCTCTCTTTTCATATAAATTTTGTTTAATCGAAAAAAACATTATTATTTATGTGTATGTTTATGTGTATGTTTGTCTAATTGTTTGTCTAATTTTTTTATTTAAACAAATGTGGTATATGTTACTTTATGTTTTCTTATTTATATTTTTTTTACTGGAAAAAAAATTATTATTTATGTGTGTTTGGTTAAGTTTATCAACATGTAACCTACTATTAAACAAAAAAAAAATTGTTAAAAGAAAAGGAAATATTAAAGAAGAGAGAGGTAGCTCCATAAATACATTAATAACTAATTTTTTTTTTGTTTGTAAAAAAGTTGTCCAACTTGGCAAATTGTGGATCCTCCAAGTGCTTATGTGGCAAGAGATTGCTTTTGAATTGCCATAATAATATATAGTATAGATAGATAGATGTTTGTAATGTATATTTGACATTGAGATGTAAGTTACGAATGATTAATTGTATCAAAGTAGCAAAGAGCGTCAATTTTCTCTATAATTGGTTGATGGAGTAATAAAAGATTCGAAATGAGCCTTGAACTCAAGGGATATGTGATTAGTGAGTTACTTTTCTTTTGTCAACGGTTACTTCATTTAAAGTGACGAAATGAAAAGTTGGTATGCGTAGTACGTAGAAAACTTTGTATGTCACAAGTACTAGCCTGGATCCATGACACAACAAAGCGAGAGGTGACTAAATTGCAAAGAGCTTACTATTTTCTAAGGAATTTATTGTATAAATGTTAATCAACTTACCTAATGACTAGTCAAAAATTGCCTTTGCGAGTTAACCCACAATCTTACTGTCACCCACTCAACTCAATCCAATGACAAAATGTAGGTGGATAGATAGCGAGTAGCAATTATACCAACTCATTGGTAAACAGAACGGTAAATTCTGTAATTGATTTGGGTTAACATACTACAAATTTCAATTAATTTTTTTTTGTCGATAGAATAAAATTACTAGCTTAATGGATCATCACAAGAATTAAACATGAAATTATACAATATAGTCCTCGTGCAACGTTAAGATGGATGTATATGATGATTGCGATTAATAATGGATTCATGGGGGTGATTAATTAACTAGTTTGGTGATCATTGGCCAGCAGCAACCGCGTAGGATTAACGATTTAAGAAAACACAATCATGAAATTGAAAGTAGTGACCACCCTGCATTCGCTAGATTATATTCCTTAGTGCCTTGTCAGGGTTAGCAGCTGTGTTCCTTTCAATTTTAGTTGTCCCTCAACAACCTAGTAAGCAATTATTTCTTTTTCGAATACGGAAGGTTCAAATAACGCTCTAATCTTTATTCATTAATTAATTTAAGAAGTTATGACGGAAAAAATTGACGAAAAATGTTATTTGCTTTCATAGCAATATAGTTATTGCAGAAAAAGTTCTGATAATACAAAATGCGCGAGTCCGTAGAAATTTTTCGTAGTTATATTCATGAAGTCATAGAGTGCCCAGACATTCAAAAGACTCGTTCAGTTGGGTTTTCTCGATTTTTTTTACAAATGCACTGGTTGCCACTTTATTGTGCTTTGATTTAGAGAAACCCGACCAAACCGATGTATATTGACATCCTTACCTAGGGTTATTTATACACATATCATTCTGATGATTGATTAGGCAAATCATTGGCAGAAGTTGGTCTACCATTTCACCGACAGACATCAGGATTATCCAATATGAACAAAAGGTAATCAAGCTGTAAATTAAAAGTATAATAGCTCAATACAACAATTACTGTACATCTAGACTGCTTTTCCTATTCATTGTGACTCAAAATTCCTATTTACTGAGTTCTGATTGGTTATTGGCCTATAGTGGGCCCTTTGTGTCCTCTTGTCGTCGTTTAAACGTTTTCTTCTTGCTTTTGTTTGGACTGATCGGAGACGGGACGAGCAACAGAAATAGCTTTTGCTTTTGTTTATTGGAGGTGACTGGGGACCTAAGAAAAAAATCGCGTTGGTCACAGGGATTCTTTGTGGGACCGATGATTTTTGTTTTGCTGATGGAAGCTCTGGGGGATGGGAATTTCTTTCGCTGAAAAGTTGGAGGGTGAGTGCTTGGGTCTCCGTTTGGAGGTGGGAGTTGTGCCGGGTTCGCGGCTCAAGGTATTGGAGGTGATTGGGGTTGTCATGGGGAAACTCAACCGAGGCTTGGAAAGCCCGCTCCATTCTCCACCACATATATTTCACCTAAACCAATTGCAGAGAGAGGGGTCAAAGCCAAGGGAGAGAGATTGTGGAGATAAGAACTTTATTTTCTGCCCAATTTTCAATTCGTCTCTCCTCCGACTGTTCTCTTTCTTTCTCTCTTCTTTTCTCTCTGCGTTGGGCTTCTTCTCTTTCTCGGCAGATGGTGGAGCTGAAGGGATCGACAGGTTAGAGAGGTCCGAAGAAGATCCAGACCAACCGGGAGTGCCTTTGATTTCAGGTATTTCTATTTTTGTTTTCTTAGGTTTGATATGAACATTGTTATGTTTCTAATTTTTTTTCCTTCTGATTCACCGAGAAGGCTTCGTATTGTCGTTCGAGGACCCGACTAATTTATTAAACTTTTTTTTGCAGGTCGAGATTCGATTGGGAGGATATCCAGATCCGCAGGTACTCTTCTCTCTGTTTTTATGAGTTCTTTTACTCTCTTTTGTAAAATGAGTTTGCTCTCCCTTTCTTACTCAAATGCGTTTGGTTGATTGCTTTTTACAGGAGATGGCCACAATGAGTTCACTGTTAGAGGCCTCTTCTGAATACCAACGAAATGCCAGTAGGACCTGGTGATTGTGGGAACCCGCGCTCTACTGCGGTGATTATTGCGGCGGTTCGTGCAACGGAGTGCCACTGTAGCTCATAGATCTCTGCCAAATCCTATTTTTTCCTGTGATTTGAGGTTTTCAGTTGCAGATTAAAAACGCACATGCTTAGCAGAAGAGAGTAGGTATAGAGCAGTAGATTACATCTGTTTCTTCCTCTCTGGTTCGCACCATTCTCCTTTACTCTTTCATCGAATCCCCATTTCTCATCGTGCTGATTTCCCTAATCTTTCTTTTATAGGTTGCGTCTCCTGTTTTTTTTTTTTTTTTTTTTTTTTGTTGTTGCCATGGCCTGGTGTTTTAATTAAATTTTACCAGTTTGTAAGGTTGTTGCATGTTGGAGGGTTTGGAGGTGAGCTAGATTCTCACCTGGACCTGAAAAGAGGAGGGTTGATATAAGAGATTTTCTGTCATTTCATACATGGTCATACCTTCTACCCAAATAAGAAGAGCTCCTGATCCTTCTTTTTAGTTCTTTGGGTTCACTTTAGATCACTTATTTGGGAGCTCGAACAATGCTCTTGAGATGAACTAGATTTGTAGTTCTGTTTTGGGTTCACATGAGTGCCAAACCATATTCTGTTTGATGAATTGTTGATCTCCACATCTCATTGTTAAGTTTGTCTCTCTTTCAAATATCTTTTATCCTGTTGATCCGACTGGTTGCATTCGATGGTGTTGTTTTCTTCCCCTTTCCTCAAATAGGTTTCTCCTCAGATTTTGTGTGGTGAGACCTGCGCTGTGGAGAAGATCGATCATGTTGTTGGTCATAGTGTGGGATTCAACAGTCATTAGGTTACCTTCTGTTATCCCAGTATGCAGGGTTCTGCTCTGCTCCCATTGAAAGGAAAGTGGAACTCTGCCCATGATGCTAACAATCCCTCTAACTGGGAATTATTGTTAGGCCTGTCCTTAAAACTTTCTTATTTTCTCACAATTAATTTATTGTTCTGCAGGTTATTTTTGTGTGTCATGGAAGAATGCTCGAGGAATTTGATTTGTGATGCCCGTGATTAGCTAGGATGGTGGGGATTGTTTGCTTCCTTGGCTGATAAATATAGTTCAGGAAAGGCTTTATTTTTCATATAAGGAACTCCCATGAAATGTTGTAAATATTTCTGCCAAATTATATGGTTCTGTCACTGATGTGACCAATCTTAATCAGTCATTGAAAGCTCCAATGCGAGAACTATGAACCATGTTGGATGGTTGAAGATTATGTAAACATATGATATTTGTTACTCAGTGCTGGACATGTGTATGTCCGTATTTGTTGTTTGTTTGTTAGCTTAATTTTATCTATAAAGTTTTGTAAACACTCTTTTATGCATTGATTTTATCTGATAGTAATCAAATGAAACCTCACAGAATAACTTTTGCTGTCATTTTTTCTTTTATGTATGCAATTAACTTTCCCAGCAATTGCTACAAATGTATGGTCCATATGACCAATTTAATTTGTAACTCAGGCAATCCCATTAAACAGGGTCGAGATTAGTAGTTCCATAATCACTTCACATTTCTTAGTGTATTTCTCAAGTCCCGGCGCGGAGCGCGGGCAAGGAAGTCTAGTTAATATATAAAATGAAGAACTTAATGATTGCCCAATAATTTAGTACATTATATTCCCCAACCAACACCGTATAATACCAATAATTCACTCCGTACAAATACTATTAACATCACCTTATCCAATACATCTAACCTGTAATAAGTATCATAATTCCCTTCCTTGTTAAAAGACAACCACCTATATATTATTCTCACACAAATAAAAAAAAAAGTATATTATGTACATATAAAATAACTTAAAGTAATATAATAAAAATACTTAGTTGATGCCGAATTTAGTATATTGGAGTGGAACTCCCTTTTATTGCTTACTTTCTTATTGCTCTCTATAGTCTATAAAGCACCATGTCAATGATTGTTGTGAATTGATGCAATAATTAACATTAAATAATTTACGATTAATGATCAATATAATGGAGCAAATTATTGCCATGCAGCTGTGATTGATTTGGTTCATCCACACCCACTCGACGATCTAACACAAGTAAATTGCCTACAAAAAGCTTGCACTTTGTTGTTAAAGATCGTGGATATGGCGAAAGCTTCTAGTTAATCGCAATTGGTTCCAATTTCGGTTTTCAACTTATGCATCAGTGAGGTAACTTATTAGGAAGGTAAAGCAATGCCTAGATTTTCTATTCAGCAGGTTTGGAATTCGATCAGACCAAAAAAATCCAAGGTTAAATGGTGGCAGGTGATCATATGGAATAAGTTTGTGATACCTAGGAATAGAGTCATTTCTTGGTTAATTATCCTGAACATAATTGCCACTCTTGACAAGTTGAAGCAGTGGGGGAAAGTGAATGACTCATCATATGTGTTGTGTAGAGCAAATAAAAGAGTAGAACACACTTATTCTGCAATTGCCCGTTTTCACTGCAGGTTTTTGCAGTTATGTTTGGCTTCTTTTCTTGGCCTAGCTCGTGGGAAGCCTTGCTCTAGTTGATCTGTAGAAAAGTAAGGAGAGATGATAACAAAGGTTTTGTGCAGAATATTGATTCATCAAGAAGGAGTCCAGAATATTGATTCAGCAGCTGATAGAAGACTTCAATTATTATGCTATGTGAAACTTTGATTTTCTTTCAGAAGTTAGGAGGCTACTTTAGTTTAGTCGTCTATTGTCTTTTAGCTAAATGGCTTTTGTAGTTCTGATAGTCTTTGTACACAGAACAATGGAGCAATTACGATCTTGAGTTTTTGCATGTCGCGATTTTTCAGGCGGTGATTACTAAGATTTGATAATTACCGAAAAAATAATTGAAAAAGGATTTGTTTATGGAGACTTCCAATTTAAGGGAATGGATCAGGTGAGTAACCTTATGGTGAGTAACCATGAGTAACCCGTCCACATCAGCATGACATCAGCATCCTCTCTCTCATGGAAAGCCTTTAATTTTTCCCTCTTTAATCTTTGACGGACGATTTCTCGCTCATTTTAAGTCGAAATTTAATTTTTTTTGCACAGTTAGATCAGATTAATTGTGCTCTTCAAAATGATATCCACTTTAATATATTTTTCGAACAAAAAAAATTGAGTCATTTTTTACCAGCCTATACCATATGGTATTGACTGGTATTGAAATAAAAGCATACCTATGTTTTGAAAAACGTACCATGGTGGTATGAACAAACCAATACTGTAGGATGGTTGAATACATGATAGTAGAAGTATATTAATTGTAATTTACGACTTTTAACATTGTATACCACAGAATACCACCCCGTACCAGGGTGGTATTGTATGGTATTGTGTGGTATTTTTTGGTCCTGTAATTTGTTCACCCAGAAATTTGTAGATCCAATAGATCATGATGAACTCGTCCCTTCTGTGCAAACGTTTTCAAAAACGAATTAAAAACGAAGAAGATACCATACAATACCACCCTGGTACAGGGTGGTATTGTATGGTATTGTGTGGTATTTTTTGGTCTTGTAATTTGTTCACCCAGAAATTTGTAGATCCAGTAGATCATGATGAACTCATCCCTGCTGTGCAAACGTTTTCAAAAACAATTTAAAAACGAAGAAGATACCATATGGTATGCAGTTGGTACCGAGAGGCCAGAATTTTTTTCCCCTAAAAAAATATTGAAAATTGATCTCATTTTGTAGAGCACGGTGAACTCGTTCCATCTGTGCAAAAAAAATTAAAATCCGAGTTAAAACGAAAAAGATATGAGTCAATTAAGAAAGCTAGTGAAAATAAAAATAGCCTTTAATTCTCCATCCTTAGATCTGAATTTTCTAAATGAAGGGTCCAGATTTGGTTATTGATGGGTGCATAACCCATGGTTATGCACCCTATCTTGAGCCCCAATTTAATTATCGTGAATAGGAGAAAAATGATTGATGGATTTGGAAAAGTGGTCGACTGAATGACACAATTATAGCAGAAATACATAACTCTATCGCTACAAAGCAAAATAATGTTAGATCACTAGATTTCACAGGGCGGCCGAATTCAATGACAAATACATATTTTAAAAGGATCACTTGGTTTTGTATTGTAACATATTGAGGTCGACCTAAGAAGTAAGAACATAAAGGTCGACCATTCAGTTGAAGAGGCCTTGTTTATAGATGTTTATGTTGATATTAACTCGGGTAAAAAAATGATAACAAAGTCCTTGTTTAGAACTGAAATCTTTATAGTGGTAGAATCATATTCCAATACTAGTAAGGTAATGGTTAACTGATTGATCGTTCCATTGCCGCGGTCGACTGTTATTTGCTTTGTAATGGTGAGTCCCATTGCAATACTGAAACCTTTATAATGGTCGACTGTTAGAGAATTAGGGGGATACAAGGTACATTTTGAACATGAAATGCAACGATTGATAGTTGGTACGTATATTAGATCAAGATTTTAACCTAGCTGCAAATAAGGGTGCTATATGTATGTAAGGCAACACACCGATTTTGGAAAACTATTGGAAGGTTATGAATTCGAACACGAAACATTTCAATGAAAGACGTTGATGTTTTGTCAAAAAAATAATTGATATCAATAATTCAAGTTTTTAAAAGAGGTTTAAAAATGAATCTTATATCATAATTTCCTTAATTACCTTCTCAAGTGAAACCCAACTCCATATGCCTAAAATTAGCACGGGCTCAACATATCTTGTGTTTAAATGTTAAACAAATCATTAATATTGAAGGACATGGGATCAGAATACAAGACTTTCTCGTCATCATAGACTATGATATCATATAAAGAAACGATTATTCCCAATCATTCAAATTATCGAGAGAAATCTAAACAATATCACACCACTATATTACTATGAAAAGTAGTTATTGACTAATGAGTAATAGCATCTACGTACCTTACTGGCATGGGTGAAAAATAGTCGTTCCATATTTTCAAACTTATTGCAAATAAATACTTGACACATATGTGATGTGATGATCTATCATAGCCTGTGCTAGTGTAGATAGGCAAAGTAGAGTGTTGTATTATTGGTTTGATCAATAGTAGAAAGAAAGAAATCAAATTCTATATTTAGTTGTTTTTTTCTTTTTGATAAACTATATTTAGTTATTTACTCTTCAATGGAGGATCGAGGTGAAAAAACCTTAGAAAATTTACCTTTTCTCAAGTAGAAAAATGCTACATAAAGAAATATTCTATGAAAAATGGAAAGGAGAAAGACTATCGCCCAGTGTTGTTGTAGCCTGTAGGTAAGGATAGACTTCTTTCAGTCAGGTCTAGCTTTTCATGAATTATATTGTACTGTCCATGGAAACCATAGCACATAATTAAAGATGCAAAGTTTTCACCTTTCACCCCCTTTTGTTTTTATAGCCTGTCATTCCTAAAGTTCAAAGGCATAGGTCAACAGTTGGAACATATTATTGGCCATAAATGAATTGAGAACTTACGATATCTGCTAATAAGTGGCAAATAGATCGAATTTAAAAGTTGGCGGATCGATGAATTTATGGATTAGATGAAATGAATTAATAGATTTATGAATTGAATTGGTGGACTCATGTGCATCTGAAATTTTGATGATTATGAAAAGTTTAGATATTTATTTGTGATTCTAAAAAATGTAAGTACCAAAATATAATTTTTTTAGAACATTTTTCATTAGGTATAAAATTGTAAAATATGAAAATATATAAATACTAAACTGTAATTTTCAGACCATCTGTGAATCAGACCACCTATCAAACATTTTCAATTCTACCCACCCTTAGATTTTTATCATGTACGTTTAGACTTTACAATCTTTTGGCAACCATTAGTATGCTAACTATAAATATTTCAACAAATAGCTATGAATTATTATAAACCAAACTACAAAGGAGATTCAACGAGAGAAAAAACTACAAAGGAGTCAAATCTAAGGGTCAAAGCTAATTTCTAGCTACAGAGGAGATTATTGGCTCCGATTTAAATTGATTCATTGGGGAAAAAAAATCATAACCCAAGAATAAAAATATCACACTCATCCATACAAAATGTAAGACAACAATGCACCACTAAAATAAATTTTTCAAAAATCACTTTTGTAACCAAAATTTTAACATTTTACTTATTTGATTATCATGGTACACAATAATAGTTGCCAACCATAAAATCCAAATCCCTTTTGCCACACGCCCCCTCGTAATTAAAGGATGGGACATTTGGA